CGGAGAGGCGAGAGGAAATCCTCGCGGGTACTGGGCAGCTCCGGGCTTGGAGAGCCGGTTACTGCGAGGCAGGGGAAGGAGCACTCCCGTGGGCTGCGGGCCGGCTGTGCTGAGGGAGGAGGTGTGGTTCACCTAGATGCTGCCATCTGGGGAGGATTTGCCTGGATTCGCGGATGAGAGAGGCGAGGGGCAGGGGGTGCAGGAATCGGAAGCTTTTTGCCATGAACGCCTTTGCATCTTCTCCCTTTTTCCTGGGGAGGAATATGTGGGTGGGTGGGTGTGTCCAGCTCCTGGTCCATTTCTCCGTGGCTGACCGTCAAAGCCGAATCCAAACTTGAGTTCTTTGCAGGGGGGGGGGTGCGGAGCTCGTAGGCCAATGATTTCCCAAGGGAACTTTAATGGAGGGGGAGAGAGTCGCTTTAACTTGTATTTAGGAGGGAGAGAGGGAATTTTGTGCTTGGCCACAGTTGGGGCGGTGGACGAGAGGAGTCTAAGAATGACTTCTGACTCTCCCCTATCCTGCCCTCCGCTATGACGCAGTCTTGTTGCCCTGAGGCCTGGAATCTGCGACCCTCTGTGGACACTGGTTGACCAGATCTGGAGTCGAGCTTTCTCAGGAGAATACCGGTGGCAGAGGCTGGAAGTGAAATAAAAGCACGCTCTTGCTTCCGAGCTCATGTAAGAATCTGAATAATCGGTGGGGAGACTGAGATGAGAGGGTGTGATTGAGACCGGAGACTACACGGTTAATAGGATCTTATTTTCTTCCACAAATCTGTGACCATTGTGTCCTATTTTGAGAGGCCCAAATTAACTCCACACAAATCCACCTAGAATTTGAAACAACACTTGTCCCTCTGGAAGGACTGACAGAAAGAGACAGATGTGGGTGCAGAAAGCACTCTGCTAGCCTTGGGATGCTGGCTTGCTCCTGGAGGCTCCTACAGAATAGTTTTAGGACACTTAGCAGATATATGCAGAACATTCAGCCTGCTTCCTTATTAACCACCCTCTCCCCCCCCTTTTTTTCTTTTTCTTACAGCCCTTACTAAGGTGCAAAGCTGAGCCCGCAGCACTCCTGCAGATTCTGCTTTTCCAAAAAGCCTGAGCATCTTGTTGTGTTCACATACCCTGTCACCTTTGGTCATGGCTAGCATCATTGCACGTGTGGGTAACAGCCAGCGGCAGAACACACCCTTGCCACCTTGGGCCCATTCCATGCTGAGGTCCTTGGGGAGAAGTCTGGGTCCTTTAATGGCCAACATGGCACAGAGGAATATGAAGTTGTTCTCTGGAAGGGTGGTGCCAGCACAGGGGGAAGAAACCTTTGAGAACTGGCTGATCCAAGTCAATGGGATCCTGCCAGATTGGAATCACTCTGAAGAGGAAAAGCTCAAGCGCTTGATGAAAACCCTTAGGGGCCCTGCCCGGGAGGTCATGCGTTTGCTCCAGGCGGCCAACCCCAACCTAAGTGTGGCAGATTTTTTGCGAGCCATGAAATTGGTGTTTGGGGAGTCTGAAAGCAGTATGACTGCTCATGGTAAATTTTTTAACACTCTGCAGGCACAAGGGGAGAAAGCCTCCCTTTATGTGATCCGTTTAGAGGTGCAGCTCCAGAATGCTATTCAGGCAGGCATCCTGGCTGAGAAAGATGCAAACCAGACTCGCCTGCACCAGCTCCTTTTAGGTGCTGAGCTGACTAGGGACCTGCGCTTGAGGCTCAAGGAGCTTCTCCGGATGTACGCAAATGAACAGGAGCGACTTCCCAGTTTCCTGGAGTTAGTCAGGATGATCAGGGAGGAGGAGGATTGGGATGACACTTTTATTAAACGGAAGCGGCCCAGAAGATCTGAGTCAATGGTGGAGAGGGCAGCCAGCCCCGTGGCGTTTCAGGGCTCCCTGCCAATAGCAATTGACGGTGCCGACTGCAACGTGATAGAGATAGATGATACACTGGATGACTCCGAAGAGGACGTGATCCTGGTGGAGTCTCAGGACCCTCCGCTTTCATCCTCTGGTGGCCCTCTCTTCAGAGGCAGGGCCAGGTCCAGGGATCGAGTACTGCTCATTGATTCCCCTAATAATTCTGGGGCTCAGTCTCCTTCCACCAGTGGTGGTTCAAGGTATAAGAATGATGCTCCTATAGATGTGCGTAGAGTCAGGAAGCGGAAGTACACAATCTGCTGTTCATACTGTGGCGAGGAGGGCCACTCAAAAGAAACCTGTGACAATGAGAGCAGCAGCAGGGCCCAGGTTTTTGAGAATCTGATCATCACCCTGCAGGAGCTGACACACACTGAAGAGGGGTCAAGAGAGGCCCCTGGTGAATTAAGTGACCCCTCTGAGCCATAGTAAGGTGCTAGCCCCAGCCGTAAGTGAATCCAGCGATAGGAAAACTGGGGTGAGAGGGTTTCTACTTGCATGAATTAATACACAAAGCAACTTTCTTTTGGGATGGGGAAGAGTTTTGAATGCCAGCACAGTGGAGGGAGATGACCTGACTCATGTCCTTGTTCCCTGGCCCAGCTGCCTAAGGGTCTATTTCCTGTGTGTGCCCATTTCTTGATGGCTTTATTCTCTTTGTGAAAGTGGCATAATTCAATGTGCAGTCTTCAAATAGAGAAAAATATAAAAAGTAAAGTATGAATTCACCCCAACTCTTCATCCTTATATTTCCATTGTCAATGCTTTCATGAATGTCCTTCTAGATATTTCTCTATACCTATCTATCCAGATAGTTATATGTATAGATAAAAGTGATCAAATATAAGTGCTGTTCTATACTCTATAATTTTTCACCAAACAATATATGTCGTGGGCCTCTTTCTATGTCAATAAATATATATATATATAAGCATCTATTTTAATGCCTCTGTGGTATTATTTTAGGAGTAAGTAAAGGAAAAAGAAATAACAACGAAAGCTATAAAGGGGAGTGTGGTACTCAGAGGTGGGATTTTCATTAACCTCATTTTGCAGATGAAGAAAAAGGAAGAAGAAATGGTTGAAATATTCCCCAAATGTAAAGGGACAGAGCCCCTTTAACACAACTTACCAGTCCCTTAGCTCATAGAGCCAAATTATGGCACCGACTAGTTGACAAATACGCCAACGCTTTCTTCTCTAATGTGTCCAGAGGAATCCAGAGGTGGAGAGATCTGGGGTGAGGTAACAGCCCAACATGAAGATTCCAGGGTCTCTATTCCTGTTCACTTTGGGGAGGGTCACTTTTCACTCCTCAGGGTGGGTTCCTTAAATTTCAACTGCTGCTTCCTGCTAACAACCACGTCACAGCCTAAAATCTGTCCCGTGGCTTGGCATTTCCCTTCGCCTTCTTCCATGAATAAGGAAAGGGGAAAGCAGCTACTCACAGGAACTCAGCACAAGGCTTCAGCCTGTAAACTCTGACACTATGTCTAGCGCACATAGGCAGCCTACAGACTCCTAGCTAACGTGGCTCCAACCCAAGCTAAACTCTACTCCAGTTCCTTCGTGGGGAGGGGTGAAAAATGCGCTTGGTTCCAAAACACATGAAGAAGCATGAGAATCAGAAAGCCAGGAAGGGGACCAGCAGTTGGCGTAATGGCTATGTCGCTGGACTCCCACGTAATAGACTGTGGTTCAAGTCCCGGACCCGGTGGTTTAAACTCATGCCAGGCGCATCTGCGTGCGTGCCCAAGATTCCGAGAGGAGAATGGAGGGGAAGAAAAAGGGGTTGTGGTGTGGCCATCCCCCCTGGGGGGTGATTTCTCACTTTCTGTCTCTCTGTCTCT